TGGGAACAAATCCACTGTCCTGCCTTGACCTGCTGAGGCTGCAGAGTTCCTTATGGGTATTCCACCAAAGCAGGGGTCAAAGACTTGGGTGCCTGCCCCAGGCTGATTTCCATTCCCACATCAACTCGCCCCACCCACTCCCTTCCCCAGCAGAGGAAACCCAAATGAGAAATGCTCCCATCACCCTCTAAATCCCCATGTTTCCCCTAGAAACTTCACTGAAACCCTATTATGTTCTTTTTATTGCAACCTCTTCTCCTTAAGTCTTGGGTACAGATCATGGGGGCAGGGTTGGGGCCAGCTGAGGGACAGAAAAGAGCTGTGTTGGGGTGTACCCACCCCTATTACTAACTCATTGTCCTTGGACAATCAGGATGAATTGCCACTTCCTTTAGGTAGTTTTTTTGGTCCTTCCATGCACAGAGGCCATAACTATCTCCCATTCCATTTCTTTTCAGGCAAGACCGAATACTATGGAGATACCAGCTGAAGCTATCAGGATGGGATCCTAGTTTCCAAATAACAAATGGATACATACTTCCATTTACGTTGCTGCTCCTTCCAACAAGAGATGGAGTCTTATTTCTTCACCTCCTTGCATGTGAACTTGGCCATGCAGTTGGCTTTGGCCAAGGACACATTTGCAAATGTGACACAAACAGAGGCTTGAAAAGAGTTTGTGCATTACGGTCTGCTCTCTTGTGCTGTATTTGGAACCCAGTGGCCAGTGAAAAGTCTGGAGTAGCCTGCTAGATACTGCAGACACATGGTGTAGTTACTTCTGCACCATAGCCAACCTCCAGACCTGTGAATGAGGCTATCCATGTTCCATCAGCTTCTGGATGAACTAATAGCCAGAACTACTGAGCTACTACCCATTAGTGAGCCCAAGCAGGACCAGCAAAAGAACCACCTAGCTGAGCTTAATTCAAATTGTGAATACGTAGAATTGTGAACTACTCAGTGATTATTTTTTTTGTTGTTAAGTTTTGGGGTTGTTTGTTACACAGCAAAAAATAACTGATACATTATTAGAAGGGTGGAAGGGGAATGTGGAATTGATGGAATAAGTATCCATAACTGATGGATAAGATGAGACCTAAGGTCTTCAGATACTGAAATTCTATGATTTGAAGAGAAAAATCCCAATGTCTATAACAAGTGCAATACATATAATTTAAATTTCTAATTTAAGAGCATATCTTCTCTTCCCCTTTGTTTTATATTGTAAATCTCAGAGATACACAACATGTAATCATAAAGAATTACAAATATCACCATACCAATCTCATTACTTCCTGGCTATACCTTTTTCTGTTGCCATGAAGGCAGTACTTTGTTGTATTGTGTACTGTTGGTAAATATTTACTTCACATGATTCACATCCCAATCTTGGATAAGAGTTATATGAAAAAAAAAGGTTGAAACTTATTTTTTTTTAATTTTTATGAGTTTATTTGAGCCAAAACTTACAGGGAAGCAAGATCTCAAGCACTCCCTGAATTAATTTTTTAAAATAAAAAGATATTGAAATCACTTGCAAAGTCACATACAGCCACAAAAGAATGCAGCCACTATAACACTAAAGGAAATTACCTCTAGGCTTCCATCTAGTACAATGCAATTTTCAACAACTGAGAGAGGCTTTGAAAATAAGAGGTAATAACAGAAATTATGACAAACCCATAACTCCCATTGCTAAATGAATGGCAGAGAAAGACCAGAATAATGACAATGTGAATTCCCAGTGTTTTTACCTAGTGTTGGCAGCAGCAAGTGACAGTGCAGGCTTTCACAATGACATCATTATATTAAATTACCAACTATTGGGTTGTTGGAAAAGTCATGACGTATTTTTTCTATGTTTTTTGTTGCAAAAATGCGTCATGACTTTTACAACAACCCAATAAATAATTTTTGAAAGTCAGGAAAAAAATAGCACTATTTAATTTTGGAGAAGATTCCATTTCACTGAGGTTTTTGCTTCCTGCCCACAAGTCAGAGATTTCCCAGCTGGAAAACCAGCCTGTCCTGGTTTACAGATCTGGCATCCACCTTAGGTCACATAGGGAGAGATGCAGGAGAGAGGCAGATGCATCTTTATAGACAGCCTACTCGTATTGCTGAGTACTGAGGATGGCGTGCGTGGGGTTGTGGGAACACATCGTTTTTCAACTCACTGTTCGGTGCTTTCCCCTGCCCCAGCTTTGACACAGTTTTTTCTTTGAAGCACAGAGACATCAGGAAAGAATATGGATAGTTCTCATCTCTATTTATGTTGCTCCCTGCCTCTTCTGCTTGCAATCCTGGATGATCTCAAAGGATGATATCCAGATACACAGAACTGAACCAGCAGGAGGGGTCAGCTAGTTTAAAGGTGTTGTTGCCTGTATTCATTACAGAACCAGAACGTCCTCCCTTTTTATCTTGCTTTTTTTTTTTTTTTAGCCTGAAGGACAAAGACAGAGAGAGGAGTCTTGATTTTTCTCATTAGTCTGCTCCAGCTAGTGGCCTATTCAACTTCTGAAAAGCACTTTTGATGTGACCATTATAATGTGACCATTATTATTTTTTTAAGATTTTATTGGGGAATTGGGGGGCAGGTAACAGCGTTGGGGAATTGGGGAAGGGGAACAGACAGGTAGACAAATTGCTGTTTTGTTCTTCAGTCTAGTTGTGGTGGACATTGGTTCACTGGCCCATGTTGGTATGATCATTGTGCTCTTCCTGGATGAGGCAATCGGGTCGCCGATTGTTGGTCGGCCACTCACAGCAGCTCCCGGTAGCTCACACCAGCTACCAGCCGCTCACGCTGGCTGCCAGCCACTCATGTAGCTCATGGCAGCCCACTGCAGCCCTGCTGCAGCCTACGCCATCGCTGGCAACTCACAGCAGCCCAGCTCCAGGTCGAGCTGTTGTTCATCATCTTAGCTGTAGAGGGCACAGCATCACTGGCCCTCAATGTGGGATCCAAACCGCAGCCCTGCTGCTCAGAGCTGGTGCTCCCAAGCAAGCTCTTAACCAGCTGAGCCACTTGGCCGACCCGTGACCATTATTTTTTTTAATGTAATTTTATGAGTAACGGGATTGGAATTCAGTTTAGAAAACTTTTGACCAACAATCATTCAGATAAATAAAAATGAGGACAAAGAAAAGAACTGTGATGAGCAAAATAAAACAGCGTTATGCCAAGAAGGTATATGAATCATGTTTTCCGAAGGCTGCATGCATTTCTTCTGTTTTGTAATGACCTGGAACTTCCTCCTCACCAAGCCTCTTTTTGGCTCCTTAGTTGCCCAAGGATGACTAACGTCTCAGCTGAGAAATGTGGTCATACAGAGCCTAGACTCTCGGACAGAAGGGACTTCAGACTTCATTTTGGTTCACCAGCACCACTGCATCCCCCATAGCTGTTTGGGAGTTAGAGAAACAAGGATGGAAAATTTAATGGGTTGAATTGTGTCCCCCCAAAAGATATGTCAAAGCCCTAACCCCTAGTACCTGTGAATGCAACCTTATTTAAAAATAGGGTCTTTTGCACATGTAATCACACTTAAAATGAGGTTGTTAAGGTGGGCCCTAGTCCAATTACCTGCTGTCCTCACTAGAGGAGAAGAGATACTAGGAGGGGACAACACTATGTAACAACAGAGGAAGAGATTTAACTTCTGCAGCTGTGAGCCCGGGATCCCCAAGGATTGCTAGCTACCACCAGAAGCAAGGAAGACACAAGGAAGGATTCTCCCCTACAGGTTTCAGAGGGAGCATGGCCATGCTGACACCTTGATATTAATTTCTGGCCTCCAGAACTTATGAGACAGTACATTTCTGTTGTTTTAAGCCACATAGTTTGTGATGGCAGCCCTAGGAAACAAATTCAGAGTTTTGGCAGGTTGCCCATGATCACACAGCTGTTGATGGCAGAGGAACCACCAGAACAGAACCCTTGTGAGTCCCACTGTCCATTGTCCTGGGTTTCTTCCTCTGAAATGTCACAACTCAGTTGTATGCATGTGCTTTTTCTTACATCTTTGTTTTTGTAAAAAATTAATGGAGCCACTTCAAAATGGAGCCGGAGCGGCCATGCCAGAGGAACTGCCTATCATGTCTTATGCCTCGAACCTTTGTAATCTTAAAACAGGGCAACGTAACCTTTGAACTGGGGCTAAGCAACCTTGTGTTCCAAAGATCTTTTTACAAGGATAACAAGAAAGCAGTTATTATGACTACCATACTGATGTCTATCAGACTGAAAATTAAGAACGCTTTTTAGATTAAACATCACTATTATCTATCTGCACCAACAGAAATGCCTTCCTTCTATTATGTAATTGTTCCCCTTTCCTTTCTCATAAATACTCATTGCCTTTGTCTCCTAATCAGAATATTATTTTGGCTCCTGTCTGAATCATTGCTTTCAGAATAACTATTCTTTGATCTCAAATAAATGCATATTGCCTCTCACTTTGATAGGCCTTTTATTTTTTGGTTAACATTTTCATTCCAGATTTCTATAATAATTTCCCTCAAATAGACTTTCCTTATCTCCCCACTTTTTTTTTTTTAATTGGGGAATTTGGGGAGGGGACCAGCCAAGTCGTTGTTCTTCAGTCTTGGTTGTAGAGGGCATCAGTCGCCATCTGGCTTCCTGTCGGCAGCGTGTGGTCTCTAAGCTCAAGGTGCTGTGTTCAATTTTAGTTGCGGGTGGGCGTAGCCACCATCCCATGCAGAAGTCGAACCAGCAGCCTTGTTGTTAAGAACACATGCTCTATCCACTGAGCCATCTGGGTGGTAGCTCAGCTCAAGGTGCCAAGTTCAGTCTTAGTTGCAGGAGAGCATAGCCCACCATCGAACAGGCAGTCTTGTTGTTAGGAGCATGTGCTCTCACCAGCTGAGCCATCCTGCCACCTGTTGACAGCTCAGCAGCAGCTCAGCTTGGGTGCAGCGTCACTAGCGCACGTGGGAATTGAACTGGTGGCCCTGTTGCTCAGAGCTCGCACTCTTAAGCTAACTCTTAACCAACTGAGCCACTCAGCCGGCCCTCCCCACTTTTTATGTTGAAAATTTTGAAACCTATAAATAAGTTGAAAGAATAATACAGTGAACACACATATTTCCTTCACCTAGATTCAGTCAGCAATTAACATTTTGCCATGTTTGCTTCTCTCTCCCCATATGTTTACTTTTGTCTTGAACCATTTGAATGTTGCAGTCATCATGACATTTCAAACCTAAAAATTTCAGCATGTATCTCCCAAGAACAAAGACATTCTCCTTCACAACAATAAAGGATCTCAATACCAATACAAAAGGATTATCTAATAAAAAGACTATATTCAAATTTCACCAATTTCCCCCCAAATATCCTTTTTGGTATTTTCTTCCTTCCTCCTCTCCCTTCCCCTCCACTCTTCTTGCCTTTATTTTTGGACTTAGCATCCCATCCTCAGCTGCCATGTCTCCTTAGTCTCTTAATTTGGAGCATTCACGTACTTTGGGTATTTTTTTGTCTTTCAGAGCATGAATATTTTTGAAGAGTCCAAGCCAACTGCATACCAGAATGTCCCACAATCTGGATTTGCCTGCTTTGAGGAAAAAAGCGAAATGGTTAAACATTCTCTGTAAGAATATTACCAAGGTGATGCTGTGTAATTCCCATTGTATCACATCAGGGAGAACATAATATCAGTCAATAATCACCATCAATGATAACATTTGATTCATTGGTGATGGTGGTGTCTGCCAGATATCTCCATTGTAAAGGTACCATATTTCCTGTTGTAATTAATGAATAATCTGCATCAGATATTTAAGAGAAGACTTGTTCTTAACTAGTTAATACAGTGCATTCAGAGTTAAAAACAAATGTTGACTTGGTATTGGATATCACTCCATAGCTGAAATACAACACCTAATGTGCTTAACTTACCATGTGTTTTTTACAAAGGTTGTGGTGGGGGATATTAAGGTTAAAACTAACCCTCCTCCTTTACAAACCACCAGCCTACAGAAATCTGAAGGTCATTCTCATGGCTTTACCAATACATATAATATTATCCAGGTTTGCTCAGCTAGATTTTCTGACTCATTAAAATTTACATCAAAACTTAAGAAGGCATACCAAAAACAGTTAAACATACCAAAGAGTCAAACCCTAGGTAGGTAGCCCTGATGCTTAAAGCACAAAATTACATTAGATAAATCAAAGGGTTGCTTCTCAGCATGTCGACAGCTCAAGTATCATGGATAACTTAGCGCTTGTAGTATCACATTGTGTGAAGGTGGTATTTTCCTTGTTGGCTACCATGAAGGACATAACTTCAGAAAGCAGGATAAAAATAGATCTCCAAAGTCATAGCAATCATTTTTGAGAGGTCAAAAATACTAGCAGCTTTAATTGGAAGTTGCTACTTTTCATTAGTATAACATGAAAACATACCCTAAGTCTCTGAGTGAATATTAAGCATGGTGATTATGGTACATAAGCCACCAAGCCCACCCTCAGGGTGTTCCTATGCCATAAGAGTGAATTCTTGTGGGGTTGGATTTTTTGGTTTTTTAAAAAATAATTTTATTGGGGAATTGGGGTAGGGAATAGCATTGGGGAATTGGGAAAGGGGAACAGACAAGTTGCTGTCCTTTTTTTCTTCAGTCTAGTTGTGAAGGACGTCATTTCACTGGCCGATGTTGGTATTATTGTGCTCTTCCCGGGTGAGGCAGTCGCTCGCCGGCCATTGAACAGCCACTCACAGCAGCTCATGAAAGTGCATGCCAGCTGCTGGCCAGCCCCACTGTAGCCTAGCCATCGCCAGCGACTCACGGCAGCCCAGCTCCAGGTCAAGCTGTTGTTCACCATCTTAGCTGTAGAGGAGGCAGCGTCACTGGCCCGCATGTGGGATCTGAACCAGGGCCCTGCTGCTCAGAGCTGGTGTCCCAAGCCAACTCCTAACCAACATGCCACTAGGCCGGCCCTCCTGTGGGGTGTTTTTACCACTAAATTGTAAGTTCCATGAGAACAAGGAGTTGGTCCTGTTTGATCTCCAAAATCCAGAACAATGTCTGGCACACAGTGGGCATCTGATAATTATTGACTGAATGAATTAATGACACAAAATAGTGTTCTTCAAGATTAGGTCACTTCAACATTTCTAAGCAAGTGCTATAACCTCATGACCACTCCACCGCCTTTTAATTTACTTACAAAATTTGTTGCTTGGAAGTGTGTAAAGGGGGCCTTCTTAACTTCTCTATCTCAACCTCCAACAGCTTAGTCAGTCATTTCAGGACAGATAGACTTCAAGGCACACCTCTGTGTACCAGATCAGGTAATGAGTCTACTCCTCGAGGCCAAGTATCTATTTTCTTTTTGCAAAGTAGGAAGGATTTGTAATATTCCACTATCCCATCATCACTAGTGTTTTATCTCATTCCAATATTTGATTGCTGACTTGCTAAAGGTCATGGAGAGAAGCAAGTCTGTGGATTGTTAATAGAATGTATAATTTGCTTACTTAACATTTATTCTCTACATGATTTTGTCTAGAAATATTTTGACATAAAATTTTGGTTAATTTGCTTAAATATATGACAGCTAATTAAAATAAATGATCTGCCATATGAACATTAGAATATTTTTTGTTGTTGTTCATGTGTAGATGCTTTAGTTTCAAGGAAGCTGAAAGAGTCAATTAGCATAAATGTTCTCTTCAATCAGGACCTTCCAGACTCAACGATGGTAGACAGTGATAGAAAAGGACAGAGGGGGCAGGAGAGAGGGTCTCCTCCTGGAAGGAATAGTAAAAATTAAAATATAAGAATAGTAGTTTCTCCTTATTGCACGCCTTTTGGTTTACAACAGTCCTATGGAACTAGAGAACTATTAGTCCCATTGTAGAGACAAGGAAACTAAGGCTTAGCAAGGTTGTGACTTGATAGTAGTAAGATGTAAGGAAGGATTTAAACAGAGCATATCTGACCTTAGAGCCCTTACTTTACCATTAAGAGGGAAAACTTCCAAATACACAGTAGGCTGAGAGCCTGTTATTGACAAGTGTTGTCTGGCAAGTTTTCAAGGAAATACTTCATCATTTCTTAAAGTACTTAAGCTGTGAGGAACTCAGAGCAGATAAACTGTGAGATCTCTGCCCCAGAGTTCAGAAAGGGGACTCCCTATACTCTTGTTAAACATCTTTTGATATTATCCAATTCTTTTATCATCTGTCATTCTCCTTGAATCCCTCTTCAAAGTGAAACATCCCTACATTTATGGCTATAGCTCAACTCCTGAGAGGCATCCATTTGCAAATAGATGAAAAGCTTTATTACTGTAGATGAGATGAACAAGGGACACTGGGCACAGCCAGCCTTCAGCATGGCCACGTTAAAAATTCTATTACCGCTGACCTGCTTAGACTCACAGATCTGATGGCTCAATGTTTCTTTCATCACCTTGAGAAAAATTAGGAGGGGAAAAAACCCTGTATATACAAAGGTTCTTATTTTTTAAACAAACACTTAGAAAAAAGTAGAAGGTTTACATTTATCAAGCTTAATTTTATCTCAAGTTCATAAGATATTATGGGGCAAAAATCCTTCTAAAATCAGTATTCATGTTGGCAGCGGCAGCTTTCCAAAGCTGCTAGTTCAAATTCCATACTACAGTGGGCACAGGTTTCTCTCTTAGACCCACCTTCCTCCTGCCCCCGACTCCTCCAGATACATACAAGAAAAATATTCAAAACCAGTTTTAAAAAGCAAGCACATATTTTTTCTTTCTCGCAAATTAATTTCCCCTTAAAATAGCTGGGATTAAACTGCTGACAGGCAAACAGCAGGATCTTCTTTATACAAGAACATCTCTCTCTTCCCACCCTATCTCAAATGTCTCCTAACCTTTTGGATTTCAAGGACCCACAAATGAATGAATGCATGAAAATGCAGACTGATGTGAGATTGACAAGTTTTATTTTGCAATTAAAGAAAGCAAATACTAATACATATTTCATTATGACTTCATAAAGTAAATGACGATGTAACAGAAAAAAACACGTAAGTACACAATTTCAGGCTAAAGAATTTTTAAAATCATAAAGGTAAGCTTATGGGATTCAGTTTATTCACAGGAAAAAAAATATCACTGACTTTTTTTGTTTTTCACTCTGCAACAGGTCAGTGAAAATTCTATTAGAGACTAGCACTGGTTATGGGACCAACATTTGGGTACCGCTGACCTAAGAGAAGTCTTTCCTGATATCCACATCTTGTCCGTCCACCAGCAAGCAAAATGAATCCCCTTCTCTTTTCTGCTCATTTTGTGACCACGTATGTTATATAACATGGTTTCATAATTATTCCTGTTAGTGTTTTTCTAGCAGCTAGACCACAGGTATTTTTTTGTTTGTTTTTATTATTAGTTTCAGGTGTACAAAATAATGCAATAGTTATGCTTTTCACCCCTCACAAAGTGACAACCCCCTTTCCCCAATCCACCCCCCTACCCCAATATTATACATATCTATTACAATTCCATTAACTCCACTCCCCACATTGTATTCCACATCCCGTGACTATATACATATTCAATTATAGTTGACATACAATATTATTCAATGGCAGGTTCAGATGTACAGTGCAGTGGTCAGGCCTCTACACCGTCCATGAAGTAAAGACCACGAGTTCTTAAAGGCACAAAGATTGTGGCTTACACTTTTATCCATTGACAAACATAGCACAAAGTCTAGAACACAGTAAGCGTTCTAAGAGTATTTATCAAATTAATTTGTACATAAGTCAAATGTAAAGAGAAAGTTCTCTACCTAGACAAAATTGATGATCTTATTTGCAAACTGGCATATCACATTAGACCCTGGAGGTCCAAGAGATATAAAGTTATATGAACATCCTAATACCACTGCCCCACAGCAATAACTTGCAAATTTAAGCCGAAATTGAAATAGTCAACACCATTATTCTAAAAAACTTCAGCTAAGAAATTGTTTTTTAGCCAAGCTGTGTTTCAACATTGACAATGACATTAATTTATATATATTTCAAATGAAAATGGAGCAGTCCTAGAAATGATTTTTAGTGTGAGGTAGGGATCAAAATACAGTTTTTTCATATGTGAGGTGACCATAATAGATGTGTGATGTTTTTTATATAAAAGTAAATTAATTTCCTGTTAAATTTTAAAAAATGAATATGGAATTTCCAGATGCAGAATAGACTGAGAATCATCAAAAGGTAGGATAATAGCCAGCAGCAAATGAGATCCTCTGTGTTCATTTATGCACGTGGTTTTTTGACAAGTCCTGGCCTGAATCTGTGATCTGAAGACTGAACAGTGAACCAGCAGTTCCCTGAATCCAGGAAAACAACATGTCCTAATCTATTTCCCTCACAAAATTTGGCTATGCAGTAAAAATATATTCCATAAAAATATCTTCATGGATTTTCTTATTGACAAATGTGGGGTGAAATCATCATATGAGGAGTGGAATCACCAAAAACTTTTATCCTTTATATACATACATCTCCCATGAAGCAAAGAACATAAAAAGTGAATGGAATTAAAATTATAATCGTTTCTTCACTACCAAATTCGGAGAATGTAAGTATATATAGTGTTACGTTAGCTATTATTTTAACTCCTTAGTGGTATCCAAAAGTTAAATTTATTAAATTATCTAAGTTAGTGCTGTCTTAAAGATCAAATTTGTATTTACCTACAGTAATGCATAGATAGTTATGAGGCTACACAAAGCTTTATAAATGAAATTGTGGCGGCATTGGCAATTGTAAGCAGGATCAGAGGAAGAAACTGGAAACTGAGAACAACACTGTTTGCTGGTGCTTATTCACCTAGTCTTCAAGATGAAAGGAATAGAGGGCCGGCCAAGTGGCACCTTGATTAGGAGTTGGCTCTGAGCAGCAGGGCCCTGGTTCAGATCCCACATGCGGGCCAGTGACGCTGCACCCTCTTACAGCTGAGATAGTGAACAGCTTGACCTGGAATTGGGCTGCCGTGAGGTGACGGTGTCAGCATAGGCTGCAGTGGGGCTGGCCAGCAGCTAGCATGTGCTTTTGTGAGCTAACCTGAGCCGCCATGAGCAGCTATCCAATGGCTAGCGAGCGACTGCCTCACCCAGGAAGAGCTCAATGATAATACCAGCAAGGGCCAGTGAAGCAACATCCTCCACTAGACTGAAGAACAAAAGGACAGCAACTTCTCTGTTTCCCTTCCCCAATTCCCCAACGCTGTTCCCCTCCCCCAATTCCCGAATTAAAATCTTTGAAAAAAAGGATAAAAGAAATAGAAACATCTGGGGACAGAATTTTAGCATGTCTGAATTCAATGCTTTTGTATAAGCATCACCATGTAAACTCATCTCTATTATTTACTCATAATGGTTGGCAGCCTCCAAGATGGCCCCCAGTGATCCCCACTACTAGAATTCATACCCTGGTGGAGTTCCCTTTCAGATTTCACCAGTGTTGGTTTGCATGACCAATAGGATAACACAGAAGTGATTGCATGTCACTTCTGAGAATAAGGTATAAAAGATATTGCAGCTTCCATCTTAATGTTCCTTTGTCACTCTCAGGTCACTTGCTCTGAGGAAAACCAGCTCCTGTGTTGTGAGAAGCCCTATAGAGAGGCCCACAAGGCAAGGAACGGAAATGTTCTGCCAACAGCTATGGGAGTATACTGGAAACAGGTTCTTCAGCCCCAGGCAAGCCTTCAGATGACTGTAGCCTCAGATGCCAGCTTGGCTACAACCTCATCAGACCTGAGCCAGAACCACCCAGCTACACTGCTCCCAGATTCCTGACTCTCAGAAACTGAGTGAGAAAATAAATGTTTGTTGTTTTAAGCTGCTAATTTTGGAGGTGATTTGTTACCCAGCAATAGACAATTCATACACCCACTGTGATCTTGGCTAAGTTAGAGAAATAATTGCTTCCTCATCTATAAAGTGGGGACTAATGTAAATAGAAATATATACTATACTTGTTCTCCTTTGTTCCAGAATGAATTTTTGACGACTTTCAGAAATGTATAAAATATAGGACAGCATATATTAAAAGAGGACAGAGGACAAAAAAAAACAAGAGTGGGGATATAAAAAAGAAATAGGAGAGAGGTTAAAAACTAACGTATCATCACACAATCCTATAAACTGGGCCACAATTCTGGCTCTGAAACTTTTAGTAACGACTCCAACCTCCCCCAACCCACACACACAGACACAGTGAGGTATTTATTCAGTCCAGAGTCCAAGAACTTAAAAAAAAATCTAATTACTTAAGAGATATATAATTATCCTTAGTACTAACACGGATGAGAATTTCTTTGGGCGCTTCCCTAAAGCAGACCGAGTGCAGTATAGCTGAGGCCTTCACATACACAGATACAAGCACAGTATCTCATATCGTGCAGGCCCATAATGGGCTCTCACATGACAGTACTTGCTGTTACACCATTCGGGGCAAAGTTTTACCGGTAATACAGCTTACCTCTAAATCACATTTGCTCTTCACAGGCTAATACTCTTGAATTTTCATCCTCATAAATATTAAAAACAGCCGATTTTAAGCCAGGAATTTAATGGAATCAGTTTTGGAAAGTCCTGGGTATTCCAAATATTTTCCCATATTCCTTTCATCTCAATAAGGAAGAACCTCAATGGACATAAATGTGCATCCTCATGGTCATCCATGCACAAAGTTTGGGGCCTCTGTAATAATACCCTTTCTTATTTACCTAGTCACCCTGCCCTGATGTTTTTAGTAATGTCTTTTCCCTCTGTTCCCTCCTTTATATTCTTGCAGCCATGTCTAGCTCTTGAGTTTTAACTCTTGACTCACAGATTTAGGTGACAGCCCTGTCTTAGCCAGCTCAGATTGCCATAACAAAATACCATAGACTGGGCGGCTTAAACAAACTACCAACCTTTATTTCTCAGTTTTGGAGGCTAAGTCCAACAGCAAGGTGCTAGTCACTTCTCTTCACTGATGAGGGCGCTCTTTCTTGGGTTGCAGATGGCTCCCTTCTCATGTGTCCTCATGTGGGCGGAGAGAGGGAAGCAAGTTTCCTGTGTTTCTTCTTATAACAGCAGTAATCCCATCATGAGGACCCTACCCTCAAGACCTTATCTAAACCTAATCACCTTCCAAAGACCCCACCTCCTAATACCATCAGGTTGGGGGTTAAGGCTTCAACATATGAATTTGGGGGGGCACAATTCAGTCCATATCAAGCTCCCAGTCATCCCCAATCTAGCCTGATGCATATGATTGTCAGAGCACTTTTTCTCTTCTTTCATAATGATTTAGTTAAGTGTCAGCCTGGGTCCTGACTGCAGTAAATCAAGATTCAGCCTTTTGCCCCACCTCTAACTCCTGTTTACCCAACATAGCTCCTCCACTCAGATTTTCTCCCCCTCCTCTCTGGGCCTTTCTATACTGTGAAACCTAGAATGCACCACCACCACCTCTGCCTTTCTAGATTCCAATTCCATAATTTAAACCTGGTTCAATTCCCTAGCTCAGAGAATTGAGAGTATCAGAGTTGTAAGGACTTTAAACGTCTCTGTTCAATCCTCAACCTCACCAAGCATCATCCATTCATGCATACAACATTTACTGGGTACCTCTTAAACCAAGTAAAATGAATAGATAAGTTCAGTCCACAAAGAGGTCATGATTTATACAAAGAGACTGGAATACAAATGATTACATTTTAAGTACAATGTTCAAGACATGAACAAAGGGCTTTGGGAACACTTTTTTTTTTATACTTGTCTAGATTCTATCTAAATACCTCCAGTAACAAGAAACTCATTACCTAAAGGGGAGCACATTCCATTTTTCAGAAATCTATAACCACATCAAGTTATCATATTGAGTTTAAATCTAACTTCTACACACTTAATCTAGCATTTTCAAATTCCAGTTTTCAAAGATAAATCTAGCTTTCTTTTCATACGATTGCCATTTAATTATTTGAAGACCACACCATGAATGTTCTGATTTTAGGCTCTTCATCCTGCTGGCTGCCCTCCTCTGGCTCCTCTGAAAGTTTGGTGGAGACTCACAGAGGCAGTATGGAGGGAGGCTATCACCTCTTTTTGCAACTCAAGATCACATTTACCTTTCGCAGAAAGAAGGAGGCACTCTTATTACTTGACTTCTTATAGACAATCATAATTTCCAGTGATTTTTTTTTCTCTCACACAATTAATAATATGTCCTTCAAAAGCCTATAGCACAAACTTGAATGGCTCATACTGGGGCTTACTGCCTACCGTCCTGCTTGTCCATTAATTGTTTAATTTTTTTGTATCTAAACTCTCAACCTAAACAGGAGGTTTTTTGGGGGTAAATATACTTTTAATATTCGTATTTTTCTTTAATAAGTATACGAATGAGTGAACAAGTGTTAGGGGAGAAAAGCACTGTGGTATGTAGAATAATGCTCCTCCCTAAAAGATGTCCACATCGTGTGACATAATCTCCAGAACCTATGAATTTGCTATGTTATAGGTGGAATTAGAGTTGCTTATCAGCTGACTTCAAAATCCAGAGATTATCCGGGATTATCATAGCGGGCCCAATGTAATCACAAGGGTCCTATAGAAAGGAAGGCAGAAGAGATCGGCGTCAAAGAGTGATCTGATGATGCTCCACTGCTAGGTTTGAACATGGAGAAAGGAGCCATAAGGAAGGAATGAGGCAGCTTCTTACGCTGGACTGGATATGGCAAGAAAACACTCTCCCTTGCTGACCTCCAGAATTTGTAAGATATGTGTGCTGCTGATAAAGCCACTAAATTTGTGGTATTGTTACAATAGCCATAGGAGATTCACTGAAGTGCTACTGCTTGGTGCTATTTTCCAGCCATCATATGTCATTTTCATTTAATTATCATTAATCCTTACAACATACCTTCGATTTAAAAAAAAGCTGAAGCTATTGGGTAAATCTGGAAAGACTACCCAACTAGTAAGAAGCAGAGCTAGGATTCTAACTCAGGTCTCTTTGACTCCAACTTATACTCATTTCACAAAGCCATGATGCCTGAAGAAGGGATAAATTCACAATCCAGATACTGTACCTGACTAATACTCTAAATATTCTGATTAGACTTCCAGAGCCCATTGTTCCTAGCAGAAACTGGATACATAATTCAATAGCTATTATTAATACTCCTCTTTAATTTCTCTGCCTTCTTTCTCTCCTTGAACATCTATCTTTCCCGTTGATACTGCTTAAAAACATTTTAAACTAAACATAACTCTTAGCTTTAAACCGATTAAGTGGTTTGTTTTGTATCACGTAACAACTATAAATATATTTATAATGTTTATAATATTAATATTTATAACAAACTTTTATAGCCACAATTGGCTTTCCTGAAAAAACATAACCAAACCCTGCAGAATTCTGACAAGAGTGGTTATTCAGTGGTGCTACTCTGAGCTGTGCAAAATTTGTTGGTCACAGACACAATAAGCATGGATGAAAATTCTACAATTACAAGGATACAGTTTGCCCTTAAATCCATAATGAAAATGTGAAATTTTCTTTAGTTCTTTCTTTATGTCTTTACCACAAAGCATTCACCTGTTGCAACATGCCCCTTTTTCATTTGAAATAAGTCCGTTCATTCCTTATTGAGCACTATTTTGTGTAGTGGTCACTACAACCTAATCCTTAGAGTGCTGGGATAAACGGTACTTCTACTTCCTACTCAAGTGACCCTGGGAAAATTACCTCATTGAAATTATTTTCTCTCCTGTGAAATGGATATAAGGATAACACCTACCTCATGAGTATTGTGAGGATATCCTAAGGCAATGCACTTAGAACAGGGGTAGTATAAAGTAAGCAATCACCACCTGTTAGTTCTCACTATATGCCAGGCCATGGGTTTATATTAGTGCATAAAAGAGACATGGTCTCTGCCCTTGAGAAGCCTATATACTAGTAGTTAAAATGTACGGGTAAGCAAATAATTTTAGTTTTTAAGGAGTGTTCAAATCAGCAGCTACTATTTTTGAGTTTATAGCATGGTGGTGGTGGTGGTGGTGTTCCTGCTGAAATCTCCAGATTGACATGACTTGCTTCAGAGATGCCCATGACCTGACACTTATTGTAAAAAGTGCTCTAGTCCCACCCCAATGACTCAGTTCCTCTGAGGGCCTTCTTTCACCTTTTACGCTCTGTATTCTGGGGGATCTACCTATAAAATTACACTGAAAAAAAGAAATTAACCTTGCCAGACTGTCTGATGGCTAGGCAACACTCCCCACCCCATGCATGTCATCCTTAGCATTCACAGATACCCCCACTAGGAGAGATTTTTGAAATATGTGCCTTTCTCAAGTCCACAGACCTGCAGTCCTTATTGAAAACACCTAAACCTCTAGTTCAGCTACTTCAGATACCTACTTTTCATATTCCTGCTCATATCAAATTAGTGCACAAAAACTTCCTGCCTATTAGCCAAGAGGCTTGTCCCTAATTTTGCAAGAGAATAAAGCTTAATTTTTTCCCCCTTGAACATAAAGTCATCTTATAAATTCTTTTGAGAACAGATTTTAAAATATTAAATGAGACAACTGTGAAAGCACTTATAACAGCCTCTGGCCCATAAGAGATGAGTCAGAATACTTGCTGTTTCTTTCTTATAGATGATTTGCCATTTTCAGTGCAGAGCTCCAAATAAGTTAGTTTCAAAGAAGCAACTCTCAACACTGGGATGGTAACAAAACAGGTACCTATCACTTAGGTACTTCATAATTATTTGCTGATTTCCTATTCAAGACCTGTAGGGAAGGAAGTAGGAGCTAAAGAGGAGTGTGGTAGGCCAGCCTCTCTTCCCTCTAATTACTAATTTTGGCAAAGGCCACAATAAGTCACTAACCATCAGGCCCAAAGCATCTCAAACCCACATGCAGGTCTATTTTAAGCTTTCTGGCTCGCACCACTGAGACTCTGCTGGACCATCTCCATGTTGTCACAGCTAACCTCCGATACCCCCAAGGGTTTTATCACTCACCCACAAGAACACCAGGCCAAACTGGTAAAGCACTTTCTCATTTCCAGGTTTATTCTAGGGCAAGAAAATGACGAAATGTTAAGGCTCTCATTCAGAAACTGTCTTTGCATTTCTGTTATCACAGAAAGCACGTGTGTAGACAAAATAGGTATTTTTGCACAATGCTTCCTTTGTACCTTACATTTTTGAAGCTCCTTCCTCTCTCCTTGCTTGCCCTTCTCTACAACAATCCTGGGTTGTTTCAGTGCTACTTTTCTACACCTTCCAATGTCAAAGTGTTAACAGGTGTTCTGGTGGCTAAAACAGTCTGTGGGGTCAGAGCAACAAACCCAAGGACTTACCCCAGCCCTGGCCAGATGGCCATGTGATGACAAACAGCATTTTTGAGCCAAGCCTACAGGGTGGCAAAACAGAGCTCCATCTAGAGACAGAAAGCAAGCCAGACCAGAGGGGAGACAAGGTTGAGATGTTAAAGGATCATGTCCAGCCCTACCCCCTAGTGGCACATGCAGTTACTTTTCCTCTGCAGAAGGACTGGGACTTTATATGTTATGGAATCATACAACTTTGCAGCCAACAAACAAAACTTACACCTCTAAATGAGAATTTCAAAGCTATTACTTTGGAGAACCTTCATTCTGATTCCAGAAATACCTTGGCATTGCCTTCAAGACTCAGGACAAATTCTTTTGACTATATTTAGTGGTGAAAAATACCAGTTATTTGAGAGTGGGTGTTATTTTCAGAAACAGCCAGGTTGTTCCAAATTAAGAATCATAAGGTAGAGGAATCAATACTATTTTAGTATAAAAACCAAGGTGTTAGTTATAGTAAAACAAGTTGGAGTTTCCTGTGCAGATCCAAAAACAGTTTGAGAAGGTAATTTAAAAAGTGATCTGAATAATGGCAGTGTTGGTGTGGAATAAGGTATATGCTACCAAGGTGACAACTTTGAAGAGGTCATTGATGTGGATGCACAGCTGGCCCTCCATAGCCACAAGTTTCACATTTATGGATTCAACCTACCATGGATTGAAACAGTATTTTCGATCTGCAGTTGGGAATCTGCAGATGCAGAGGGCCAACTGTATGCATTGTTCTATGCCATTTTACATAAGGGACTTGTGCATCCTTGGAGTTTGGTATCAGCATGAGGTGGGGTGTCTGGAACCAGTTCCCTGAGGACACCGAGGAATGACTATACATTTTGGAGTCTCATTACTCTATTTTCATAATCATTAGGAAAAAGTTTATAGACAACAGAGAAGTCTAGTACAAATCTCATTTCTGAGTCTCCAAGCAGAAACTCTTAAAGTAGAAATCCCATTCTTAGCTTTCGTTAACTGGCCTCCATGACTGCATAATAGAGGCTAAAAGGTAGTGACACTCTTTACGTAAAATAAACTGATACTGTAAGGTTCTAAGACTCTTATGTTTATTAATAACGTATTAATGGGCCGGCCGAGTGGCGCGATGGTTAAGAACTGGCTTGGGACGCCAGAGGGCCCCGGTTTGGATCCCACACATGAGGGCCAGTGACACTGCCCTCTACAGCTAAGATGCTGAACAACAGCTCAACCTGGAGCTGGGCTGCCATGAGTCGCCGGTGACGGCGTAGGCTGCAGCCCCTGTGGCAGTGGGTTGCCATGGGCTACAGTATGTAGCCAGCAGCCAGTGTGACCGGCCAGTAGCCATAGTGAGCGGCCGTCCAGAAGCCGGCGACTGATGTGCCTCACCCGGGAAGAGCGCAATGATGGTGCCAACTTGGGCCAGTGAAGCAACGTCCTCCACAACTAGACTGAAGAACAAAACGACAGCACCTTGTCTGTTCTCCTTCCCCCAATTCCCCAGCACTGTTCCCATCCCCCCAATTCACCAATGAAAATCTTTAAAAAAATAATAATAATAACGTATTAATATCTAACTGTAGAACAGATTGCACTTGGGGGCCTGGGTCTCCTCCTCTCTAGAAGTCCTTAAACAGGCACAATGACCTGGACACATGTCTATAATATTAATAATAGTTAATACTTATACAGCCCTTATTACTACCTGCTTTGTACTTTCTTAGCATGATATATATTTATATAAACTCACTTATATAAACTCACCCTGTGAGTTATTACTATTTTTATTCCTCTCTTCCATATGAGACAACAGTAAACTGCAGAGCTGGGATTGGAACCCTGGCAGTCTGATTCCAGCTATGCTCTAACGATATGCTATACAACCCTGTACTGCCTCTATGAGACAAGAGAAAACCAGATACATAAATCAATAGGAAAAAGGACAATGAAGAATACTTACAAATTTACGTAAAGATCATTTGAGAAATAGGAAGGGGTAAAATGAGGCAGATGGACCTATGTAGACTGGGATGAAGGCCACATAGAGTGACCAGAAGAGTTCAATACGCAGGCTGGGGATGGGCAAAAAAGGCTCTCTAATTTACTTAAGAGACAAGAGGCAGCTGGAAAGATCTGGGTGTTATGAACAACCAGTTTCTGGCACTGTTTTCTATATATAAAATTCTTCCTTTAATCCATAAAAATCAGACAATGCAAGATTAACAAAAACTCCACAATACTATTAACATGACAGTTTTTATACCCAGCCCACATAACTCTGTGAATTTTATTGACTAGTAAGCAGATATGTTAATAAATCCAAGTAAACTCAATATTTGAAGCTTCTTGAACTCCCTAACAATGACTGAGTTTCTTTAAAGAGGGCCTATGTATGGAAGGAGGGAAGTGAAGAAGCCCTTAAGATGTCTTCCCTTTAACTACAGAATTCCAATGCCTCCCCAAAACCTCACCTCATCTCACAGAAGCAGAAACTGAGTCTGCTTGGATTACAGTCCTCTGACTTTAAGTCCAGTGCCCTTCTTACTTCTGCAAGCTGATTCTACCCTCTTCCTTGTAACCATTCAGGACAAACCACACAATACTTATTTCAAAGCCCTTCAGAGAACGTGAGCACACACCAACTCGACAGGGTTAAGAATTCCTTCATCACAGCTTCCTCTCCCTGGGACCTGAGAGGTGTCCAGAGAAATGACAGACATCAGAGTTAATGCTCCTAAAATCAACAAAATGTCAAAAAAACGAGGCAACGGATACTCTCGGGGTGTCGTGCCTTTTTTTTTTTTATTGGGTAATTGGGGGGATGGGAACAGTACTAGGGAATTGGGGGAAGGGGAACAGACAAGTTGCTGTCGTTTTGTTCTTCAATCTAGTTGTGGAGGACA